CCCTCCTCACCTCATACCTGAAAGACCGTACCTACAGGGTGACTTGGAGAGGGTCTGAGTCCGACCCTTGTCAATTAACTACGGGGGTCCCTCAGGGCTCTGTTCTTGGTCCCCTCCTCTTCTCCTTGTACACAAACTCGCTCGGATCAGTCATTAGCCCGCATGGTTTTTCTTACCACTGCTACGCTGACGACACCCAATTAATTCTGTCCTTTCCCCGCTCAGAGACCCAGGTCGTCGCACGCATCTCTGCTTGTCTAGCTGACATCTCTCAGTGGATGTCTGCTCACCACCTCAAGCTCAACCTTGACAAGACTGAGCTGCTCTTCCTCCCGGGAAAAGATTGTCCAACTCTTGACCTGACAATCAACATCGGCACCTCAGTTGTTTTCCCCGACTCAGACTGCAAGGAATCTGGGTGTGACCCTAGATAACAACCTGTCCTTCACTGCAAACATCGCTGCTACAACCCGCTGCTGCAGATACACGCTTTACAACATCAGGAAGATACGTCCCCAGCTGACTCAGAAAGCGACTCAGGTTCTGGTCCAGGCTCTCGTCATCTCACGCCTAGACTACTGCAACTCCCTCCTGGCTGGTCTACCTGCATGTGCCATCCGACCTCTGCAGCTCATCCAGAATGCAGCGGCTCGTCTGGTTTTCAACCTTCCTAAATTCTCCCACACCACTCCGCTCCTCCGCTCCCTTCACTGGCTTCCGGTAACTGCTAGAATCCACTTCAAGACACTGGTACTTGCTTACCGTGCTGCGAATGGATCTGGCCCTTCCTACATCCAGGACATGGTTAAACCGTACACCCCAGCGCGTGCACTACGCTCTGCATCAGCCAAACGACTCGTTGCGCCCTCGCTGCGAGGGGGACCCAAGTTCCCATCGGCGAAAACACGTGGGTTTGCTATCCTGGCTCCAAGATGGTGGAATGAGCTCCCCATTGACATCAGGACGGCAGATAGCTTGCACATCTTCCGGCGCAAACTGAAAACTCATCTCTTTCGACTCCACTTCGAGCGTTAGAACTATTAACAAAGCACTTATATACTAATAAAGGACTGGATTACCTAAAGCCAGTTGAGTAGCACTTGAAATGTTTGGCTCTATGAAACCTGATATACTTATATGATTCTGTTTTCTTCAAGGTTGTGTCTTCCTGGTCGAATGTACTTATTGTAAGTCGCTTTGGACAAAAGCGTCAGCTAAATGCAATGTAATGTAATGTAATGTAATGAAGCTACAGTGGGTTACGCATTATTTACATTTTTCTCTACCTATTTTTATACAGTGAAGATTTGTTTACGTACTTTTGATACATGCTCTGATAGAATAACTGTATGCTGTTGAAAAAACCCAATAAACAAAGGAAAAAAAAAAAAAAAGATCTACAGTGGGTAATTAAAGAAATGTACTGTACCAGAAGGTGTTTCATCCACTAACTAACAACTAGGCTTATATTTTTGGATAGTCTAAAACTGGTATAATGTGCATTATGGTAGATAAAAGTACAACATCATCTGGCCTTGGGTGTTCCTTTGGGGACTATTTTCCATCTTAAAACATCTGCCTTATATGCCTATCAACAGAAAAGATGGTGCACTTGCTCTTGCAATCCAACCAATTACTGTCACTTCAAAACCCCTTTATAGAAAATAATTTGTTTCATTCCCAAGAGCAGTTACAGAACATTTCATGACATATTATTAGAAAGAGCTGTTGTGCTTTTGCTGCTTAACATCTCATGTCTACTGTTCGCGCATGTATTGTTTTTGTTTATACTCTTTGGCATACGGATACATTTTTAAAACTTGTTCTTGAACATGAACTTTGGACTCAAATCTCCCTACTGAAGCAGATGAAAACCAAAGCACTCATTAACAGTGGAGGACACAAACTTCAGGTCAGTCAATGGTGTGTGTGATATGAATAGTGAATGAAGTTCTGTCTCTGAAGCAGCGAAAGGGAGACACACACACACACAAACACACACACACACACACACACACAGGCTGAAAAACACTTACTTTCCCAAGAAGAGGGCGAGCTCCTCACCCTACTTGTTTCTTTATTCCTCTCAGTCTGCACAAGCACAGAGACTGAGATGGATTGCTGCTGGGAGCCATGGCAACCAGTGGGGCTATTCACCGTCACTGTGGCTGAGGGACGGAGAAGAAGAGAGAGGGAGTTAATCAACAACACACACTTTCATTACTTATACACATACATACACATACACACAAAAATTACACACACACACAAACGTTATCGTACGTCCTTGAATCTCAGTGCCAAACTCATAAAATGAGGTTATATTATATCCTTACTTTCTTTAGAGGCCATAAACGAAGTATTGAATACAAATTGTTTCTGTAATAATATATTCCTCATTCAATGGAATCAAATCTGAAGAAATCATATCTATATATGGTGATTTACAATTATTTTTGTCTGAATTAATCAAAAAGAAATTTGGTGTGTAATATTTTTAGGGAATAGGTTTTTTGTTTTGTTTTGAAATCACACTTTTACCTGAAAACTCTTTTTTTTTGACTGACATTTTAAATTAAATAAGAAAATACAAATTTAATATTTGGCCCAGCCTAAATTCGAACCTATTGGTTTCACATGTGTGGTTCCCCTCTATAATTATGCAATCAGCATATTTGTTTTATGAAGGTTAGTCATTCATAAAAACAGCCACTAGCTCAGATCTAAGGACAGGGATCTACTTTTTCAAATACTGCCCAATGACAGCAAGAGTAAACCCATCCTCCTTCTAATCACTTTACATTTCTCAGGACTTTAGTCAGTGGACCGTTTCTACTTCAAGCTGTGCAACTTAATTAAAAAATCCTAATCTTTATTTAGGATTTGATGGTTTTCTGTTGAAAGTTTCATCAAAGTGCGACCATTTAAAGAGCACTTTTGTACAATTAGTTTACATTAGATTACAATTCTTAAATACAGATACATTTCAACGACTAAAATATGTCGGGAAGGTAGAGATGTTAAGTAACTAAGAACATTTACTCAAGTACTGTACTTAAGTACAATTTGAAGGTACTTGTACTCAGAGCCGGCCCGACCCATTAAGCGACATAAACGGCCGCTTAGGGCCCCACAGCCACTAAAAAAAAAAAAGGAAAAAAGTCGCCGTGATAAGTATGTTTAATTAATTTTGTTAATATGCCTAGATTGCCTACTCTCAGTCATGTATTATATTATTGAGTCAATCATATAATACATTAACCGTGCTTTACCTGAACCTCATCATGACACTAGAGAGGACGGCAGGATTGTAATTTCCCGTGTTCAGTGAATGCAACAGAGGCAAGGCACCAGACTGACCAGAGAGTTGAATGGAAATAAACATCTGTCTTATTGGATGACAGGTACCTATCCTGTGAGCTGTGACAATGTTTAAAATAAACAGTCAGTCAGACTCAGAGTTTTTGAAGATGGACATAAGAACATTTGTTCTTAAAAAAGACGACAATTCTCAAGTGGTGGCGCACACAACAACCCCAGAGCCACCACTTGAGCCAGGAGAACAAGGTATTTAAATGTCAGTAAACTTCCAAGTTATGCAAACATGTAAGCAAAGCATAAATTACAGCTACGTTGACGTTACTTTGAATCACGGGGGTAAGCTAAACCGTTAGCAAGTAGCTATAGCTAGCCAGATATATTAAATAAACACTTTGTCAGACAATCTAAATGTAATGTTTTTTAGTGTTACCTGGTGATTTCAAAGAAAGCTCTCTGGAAAATGTTGACTAACTGTTCGACATGAAGCTAGAAGCTACCTTACAGTACACAGTTGATCCTGAGTCCTGTCAGTTAAAGTGTTTCATAGTTAGCTTAGCTAAGCATCAACCTAGCACTGAAATATATGGATGTTATGTGACAGTATTTCTGAGAAAAAGTCCGCTGAAATGGTGGCATAGTTGCCACTGCTTTACGTGTCGACAGCATGTTTGAACGTATTTGCAGCAGTAAATGTGGCTGTTTGACCACTATTGTAAAATATAAGATAAATAAAATCTGTGTACAGTTCTGTTTCATATGGGTGTTGAGAGATGTATCCATAGATCTCTTCATTTTGCTCTCAAAGTGCACCAGATTGATGCTTTTAACTTCAATATTTAAAACAAAATCTTCCCGGGGGAGCATGCCCCCGGACCCCCCTTGAGGAGGTGAGATGTTAGCTTATGCTAACATCACAAGACAAAAGTTGGTTCCGTGTTGTGTGTAGTGAGAACGCGCTAGAGTGAGGGGGGCCCCAAGCCAAAGTTCGCTTAGGGCCCCCAAAAGTCTAGGGCCGGCCCTGCTTGTACTTTACTTGAGTATTTCCATGTAGCCTAATGCTAATTTGTACTTCTATTCTAAACTACAATTCAGAGGTAAATATTGGAATTTTACTCCACTTCATTGATGTAATACACACATTATTGTATTTAATTAAGAATTATACCCAATACATATGATTCTGAAATGCACAAATCTGCATAATGAATACTTTTACTTGTATTTTGATGCCAAGACTTTTGCACTTTTACTTGAGTAACATTTTGAATGCAGGACTTTTGCTATTCCTACACTCTGGTAATTCTATGTTTACTTATTTAAAAGAGTACTTCTTCCACCTCTTAAACGTAAGATACATTTTAAAGACTTAAATATGCAGAACAGAGGAACAATGATTTGCTTTGTGACAGTGTTGTGATGTTGACATGTTAAAACACAGAGAAAGCTAAACAGAGATGCTTCATTAGCTAATAAATCACTCTTACCAGTCGGCAACCTGAGGAAACACGTTGTTTGTTTCGGACGTTATTTGTATAAATGATGGTTGTGTTACCTTTACCTTATAAGCGTTTAATATTCACTGAAAAACGATAAAAACGTTCAGACATGTCACTAAAGTTTGTATTTCTGAACAAACTGCGCCATCACCTGGTGCGTGTTGTCAAGCACGCCTAGACGTCATCACAACGCGACAAGGAAGTGTTGTCGCTCGTGTCCTTCAGTGATAAACGTTACAAAAGTCTCTGCTTTAGGGACAGTTTTACTCTGTTTATTCGGCTTTAATGGAGAGACAGGAGCGGTGAATAGTGATAGTTTGAATCAAAATATGTGCTATTTGTAGTTATTATCAAAGCGACGATAGTGGCTCTACTGAGGCTGAACATTACAGCATAAACACACAGTAAGTAAGTAACGATAGTTTGTGTAAACATGAAGGATATGAGGTTAGACTGTAAAAACGTGTGATCAAGTAGCAGTGGTATTACAGTAAGGTACGATAGTGAGACATTTTAAATCATAGTTGGATTTGTTTCACACAGTTGAAGCTACATCCATTTCTGTTGCCTAGCCTTACGTTTTTTACATCTCTCCCAGGATCAAGCTGCGATGAGTGCTCCTAACTCTTCAGAGAGGAAGGCCTGCTGGGACTCCAGGGACCTGCTGTGGAAGTGTCTGGATGACAACGGGGACAAAGCTGAATCCTGCCTGAAGTTCCAGGGCGAGTTCGAGTCCAACTGTCCTGCTCAATGGGTAAAATATCCCCTCTTTATCCGTGTGATTACTGAGATATCTGGTGCCAGAAAGGATGAACCATGGCAGTGTTTAAACAATCAAAATATCAGTAATCTAGAAAAAAAACAAGAATATGCCTCATCCCTCCCCAATCAGGTGAAAGCTACAGCTTCAGTTAAAATGGGGTCGTCACTCATCTTTTTATATTTTCCCTGACAGGTGAAATATTTCAGCAAGAGGAGAGATTATCTGAAATACAAAGCGAAGATGGAGACCGAAGGATTCAAGCCGGCTGAAGGCCCTAAGCAACCTTCCTAACCAAAACCTGCACTCTGACTGGCTTTCAGATCAGAGCCAGAGGAGTTTTCTAACTTTATTATGGACTTCACCACTGTGATTATTTATTTGTACAGAGATTAAAGCTGCATCCAGGAACATGCATTTCACCAGCGACTTGTTTCAAAATGATTTGAGCTTCTCTTCACCTGATCAGCTGCTCTGAGATGTTTTAAAGGAAACGACGAGAGAGGAAAGATGGTGAATCCACCTGGAAATTACATGTAATGTCACTGTGGTAAAACTTTACTATTGCTGTTTGAAATTTGAAAAATTGCCTTTGATCAATAAATGCTGATCTTTACTGATGCTTTCCTTTTAATCTTGATTTATCAACATCTTTAATGCCCCGGCCACACGAGAAACGAAAACGGTTGTTTGCGTTACTGTTTAGTGTCATATAGACCGTTCGGCCACACGAGGACGACCGAATACGGCACTAAACGACTGCGGAAACGATAACGGGTCCCAAGGTGTATAGAACGGCATACGCAACGCTCTGGGGGGTCCAACGGCTCCGTGTGTACGTCCTATACGATCATTTTCTGATAATGATGAGGCAATAGCCCCGCCTCTCCCCACCTCTGCTGCTCACCCCCGCGTCAAAGTAAACTGCACACTGAATTCAGATTATTTATCTTTTTCTCGATATGGACATAAACGAGAGTGAAGTCTAATCTGATAGGACGGAGACACCTCTCAAACTACCTAGTTATAAGGTTAAAGTTATATGTTTATTTGTACTGTCGGCCGGGTCACTCATTACTGGATCAGCTGCTGCATGAGACAGACACTGACGCTGTCCGAAGAGAGGGAGGAAAAAGAGAGGCTCCGTGTATTTTATTATTATATTATATAGATTCGTTATTCATTTGTTTTAAAGCTCAATAAATAACAAAGAAGACCTTTGACCGGCACTTTTATAATTTTGTCGGAAGATTTAAACTTTAATACACGTTGACTTGCGAAAAACTGCCCGGTTCCCTCGGCCCCCACCGCGGAGAATAAACAGAAGGGCAACCATGACAACCATGCTTCTTCGCTGCTTTTGTCGAGGAAGTTGCAGCGCCACGTACAGGCTCCTGCATATGTACTGCAGCTTCTCCAGCGGTTGGAGCTAAACGGAGCTGTCTATTGCTATTGCGTGTGGACGGAAACTTTTTTACGATTGCGTTTGCGTTAATCCTATGCGTTTAGCCGTTTTTGTCCTCGTGTGGCCGGGGCATTATGTGACTGACTTGGGCTGTTGGATGTAAATAAATAAAATGAATTCAATGCAGGTTTATTGTTGTATCATCTTAACTAGTTTTCCTCGAGACATGAGACAGCTCATTTGGAAACAGGCACATACATTTTATATTACAAATCTGTATTTATTTACAAAGGAGTGTTGCTCTTACACCATAAAGTTGTATGAAACCTTCAGTAGGGCAGGACAAATTACAAAGGCATCTATGGCTTTTCACTCTACCCACACTGACCTAAACTTATAATGTAGTGATATAAAAAGTCACAAATTGCATTACAATGTGTGTACAAAATATAAAGGCTATTTTTGCAGTTCATTGCATCTATGTCTTTGTGCAAGCCTTTTCCCCTCCAGACAACAGAATTGTGATTTGACATTTAATTGAACATTTGTTCAATCCCACCCTGTGCTGCCTCTCTCCTCCTTAAAGGCTTTGGGTGCTGCATTCAGACACAATAAGTAACTTTGCTGCCTCCCAACTCTGAATTTCTTTTAGCTTCACATGCCAGGAGAAAAATCACACCTCCAGGGTAACCAAAAACAAAAACCAAACATGATCATCCTGTTGCTTAACATGCTAATACCACACATTTTAAAATATATGTTTCTGTGTTAACTCCAGTAGCTTTTGATTATTGATCATATATTTCATACATCATACATCATATTTGCATAGCTAGTAGATTTTTCTAAGATGTTATGAATGTTATGATTTCAGATGTATTCAATGACAAAAAAAACGCATCTGACCAACAAGCAAAAGTCAAACAAAGTAATTAAGCAAGACAAAGTTAATTCAGGATCAAAGGCACACGGGTCACTAAACAAAAAAATAATGCCAGGAGTGTGTAACACCACTTAAATGGCAAAATAAGGAAAGGCTACAATGAAAAGTAACTTGATAATTAAGTCTGCATAAAATAAACTTGTAGGTTCATTCAGCTATCTATACCTTAAATACAGCTTACATTCTTAATATATTAATGTTATCTAATAAAATCGTATGTCTGAGAAATAGCATGGTAAAAAGCATGTGTTCCATGCTTTAAGGAGGAAGGCCTGGCGTTGGTATGACAGGCAGTAATACGGAAGGTCACTATGGTGTGTTCACAGTATGATCAGCTTCAGTAACTTTGGACAAGACATCAGGCGGACATCAAGCTCCCAATTTGTTGGCAAAAGAACAAAAACACCTTTACAAACACACCATATGAGAGACATCTTAAGATACTAGGCACATCTGAAAGGCTGGACCAGCATGTATGTAGACAGTACATTATCAGCCTTAGTAGAAGCCTCTTCTCATGCATTTACCTGGCTTCACATCGGACAGTAAAGACAACTGGATATATCAGAATTATACTTCAAATTCTCTCAGGAATCTTTCCATGATGATCTGGTTAAAGAATCATACATAAAGTACAGCAGGAAGCATGCAGTAAAAAGAGGCTTACTTACAGTAGTATGGCCATATAGCTTATTTATATCTAAACTTCAACTAATAAGGCATGATGTGGCCCTGAAAACAGTTTACAAATTGCTATTTTGAATCAAAACAACTTAATGATCACCATAAATACTGTATGTTTGTATTTTTGAGTAATATTTTCAGTGATTTTGTGGAAAACAGAATCTCTATCAAACTTGGTTGACGATGGTAAAAAATCCTGTGGCTGGAAGTCAGAGCACAGAGGCCACTGTGACAAAGGCATTCTGTCCTTGTTATTAAAATATAATACTTATTATTGCATCAACAGGTATTGTTTTTGCTCTCTTCTTCTTCATCATCTTCTTCTTCTTCAGGTACAGTTATGCGTCTAATAAAGGGTTAAACTCTGAGCAAGACGGTCCTCTTGTCATCATTTTATTTTTGTCTTTTTTTTTCAGAAACACTGCCCCATCTCTTTCCCTCTCTGTCTCTCAGTTATTCAGTGGTGGTTACAAGCCCCCAGTGACGTTCCTGGCAACTGCCCAGTCTGGAAACTCATTCAGGTTGAACAGGGGAACCCCCCACGTGCTGATGGCTAACATCACCACCACCACGCCGATCAGATTCACCCCAAAGCCTGCTTTCACCTGGAGGACACAAAGAGGAGAAAACAAGTTGGGTTAGGTCCGCTGTAAGCCTTTGTCTTCCTGAAAACCAGCGAGAGTTAGGACATCTCATCCTCGTGATTAAAGTAAAGAACTTTGACACATTGTACTCTTAGCCTTTTGATGATACAGGTGCAGAAAGAGCATGTGACTGAGTGTGTGTGTTTATCTGTGTGTGTGTGTGTGTGTGTGTGTGTGTGTGTGTGTGTGTGTGTGTGTGTGTGTGTGTGTGTGTGTGTGTGTGTGTGTGTGTGTGTGTGTGTGTGTGTGTGTGTGTGTGTGTGTGTGTGTGTGTGCTTACCATGTCGCTGATCTTCACGTGGCCGTAACTAAAGACGATGGCGTTGGGGGGGTTCCCGACTGGAAGCATGACCCCGAATGACACGCACATGGTGGAGGGGATCAGAGTGTGCAGGGGGTTGATGCGCAGAGTCTCTGACTGCAGGGAGAGAGGGAGGCTTAGATACATCGTACAGACAAGATGCAGAGTGTGGGTTTATAAAGCTTCCTGCTAACATATGCACACGACATTAGCTTTACCTCTGAGCAATATGGGGGGGTCATTCATAAGTAGGAAGCAAATGTCGAATTAGTTGCTTATGAGGATATGTGTGATGAAAGAATAATTTCTCCAACACAGCAAAAAACCCTAGAGATAATTTGTGGCTTTTAAAGCTAGAGTGGACATTTTTTGAACTACTATCATGCTTTCAAATATCCGTCTTCAATAAGATGCAGCAGCCGGTTATCTAAGCTTAGAATAAACACGGGCAAACTGCTAGCCTGGCTCTGTCTGAAGGTAAGAAAATCCACCTTCCAGCACCTCTTAAACCCACTCATTAAAAGAAACCCAGTGAGCATGTTTTAAAAGGTTCAATTGTGTCAGAAAGCTGTGTTATTGTTTTTCTCCAGTGTGCTTGATCTTCATTGTATAAGTTCATTAAAAAGAGTGGTATTGAAGCAGAAATTAGCAACATGTTGTACGTTTTAAAATAAATATTCTTCAAAAATGTGAAATACTTGCATTTGAAGTACTTTTTATCAAAAGTTTAGATTTTTTTTGAATTTCTGTCAATACTTCTGTTCCTCTCTGGTGTCTCTAAACATCCAGTTTCCCTGTAGAGCCACCCAAACCCAGGTATTGGGACCAAGTATTGAGAATACTGTAGTTGTGTGAAAAGGAGTTTCATACCAGCGCTGACAGGATGGGCAGGAAGACGGTAAGAGTCGCAGGGTTGGAGGCAAACTCTGTGACCGCTGACACCAGCAGGCAGGCCAGCAGGGTGACGGCCCACGGAGGAAGACCACTCATGGGCTCCAGCTGTCTGCCGATCCACACTGACAGGCCTGACACCTGCACACACACAGACAGATCAAATCAGATCAAGACTTCTCATCTAGAAGCTTCCTAACCCTCATGAGATAACTTGCAGTACACCAACACATGTATAGTACCTTACAACCAGCAGCCAGCGCATAGCCGCCTCCCACCAGGATCACGATCTCCCACGGCATCAGTTTCTGGAAGTCCTTCCAGGTGATCATGGGAGCCATTGGGTCGGACTCTGCATCTTTTTAAATCAGAGAAAATGTCAATTCATCTCTGTGTTTATAATGGTTTATGCTGACTTAATGAACATATTTTTGACAAAGTTTAAAATTCCAAAGTTCTGACCTGTGTTCCTACAACTGGAGGAAGAGCAGGAGGAGGAGAAAGGTCGCCTGGCAGGGATGAGGAAGAGCAGGAAGCCCAGAAGTACAGAGACTGTGGCGTCTGTCCTGTAGCCTTTCCTGAGAGGGAGAACACCACAGATATAAAAGATGCAAAAGAAGAGAGAAGAAAATGTCTTTCTGTCTGTGTGAAAGTGTAAGTCTAATGTTTGTGTGGTGTTGCGCAACATGATGGGTACTCACTTCTCAAATAGGGATGTCCAGCCGGGCACAAAACCTGGCTCTCTGGTGAACCACAGCAGGGTCATCAGGATGAAGAAAACACCGGTCACCACCTCTGGGTAGCTACGACACACATATAAACCACAACAGCATATGAGCAACAATCACATGAGTAATGTCTAGGTATGGCTCATAGAATAATCCGTAACGTCTTTGAATGTTAAAAAAACTTCCAATTGGCTCAAATAAATGCATGATTTTCAAACTAATTAGGTCCTCTGAGACAAGTTTTTACTGTACGGAGTTGGTTAGTTTCAACTGAAAATCACCTAAAAGTGGCCCATTTCCTTGGTTAAATAACAAAAAATCCCCACAATAACCAACTGAATTCCCTTAAATACAACATACCAATATCAGGGACATCCAGTTAAGTCGGTAAAGCTCCAACAAATAAACCAGACACACATAGAAACACATGCACACACCTGATGGGTCCCAGTTTGGCGTACTCCTCATGGATCCTCTTCTCGGACAGCATCTCTCTCCTGGTTTTGCGTTTCTTACTCCATGAGCACGTTTCCCTGAAGCTGAACACACACAAAACAACATCAGGCACATTCAGTGTGTGTGTTAAACATGCAACCACAGTGTAACTCAACCTCAACAGGATTCTCACGGGAGTCTGTAATGATGAGATGCATTACGTATATGTATGTTCACACGGTACAGTACACATCTTTAAAATACACACTCCCACACACTCACTTGCAGCCCAGGAAGAGGAAGTGCAGCCACAGCCAGGTGAGGACCAGCATGATGATGGCGATGGGGAAGCTGAAGATAAACCATGTGCCGAAATTGATCACCTTAGCATCTGGATACCGACTGAAGAGACAAAGAGAGAAGCAGACATCGACTTCAATGGAACGGAAATATTGGGGGGAGAATTTTCAAATTGTTCACACCGCTTGGATGGATTGCTGTATCACTTTAGGATTACATTTACAATTGCACACACAGGCAGAACCAAAACCTGACCTTTGTCCAACAAGCTGAGACATGAAGGAGGCCATTCTGCTGGGCTTATTGCTGCGGCTGGAGGAAATTGCTCATTATAGAGGCTAAGCAGTGTGAGCCCTCCAGACACTGAGTTAACAGGGACTGTCTCAGTCTGACCAGCACAGACGCCAAGAAACCAATCAAGCCGTAATCATGTCTCAAAGTGTGGATGGTGTTTACTGGAGCTAATACCATACCAAAACAACTGTGTGACACCAGCACCCAACCAATGCTAAACCTGCTTTCAATTAATCTTGCGGTCAGAGGAAGGTGGATTGACGAGGTGTGCACGTACATGTACTTATGTTTACCTACATGTACTTTGTCATGTGTACCTACGTGTATCTATGTGTATGCACGTACCTGTGTGTACCTACAGTACATTTACCTAAATGTACCTTTGTGTATCTATGAATACCTACTTTTTGGGTTTCCATGTAGCTACGTGTTTTTACAGGTACCTTTGTGTATCTACATGTATCTATGTATACCTATGTGTACCTTCGTGTACCCGCATGTGTCTAAGTGTATCTACGGTTACATTCATGTTTCAACATGTATCTACCGACGTGTATGTCCTTCTACCCATGTCCACAATACATGAACCTACGTGTAACAACGTGTACCTACGCATACAGACGCATATCTACATAAACCTACTTGTTAAACTGCTCAGCAAAGATGAGGTTGGTGGAGGTGCCAGTGATGGTGATGAGCCCGCCGATGGTGGCAGCGTAGGTGATGCTGAGCGACAGGCATTTACAGATCATGTGATCCCTCTTGGTGGGATACTGGGAGTCTCTCCTGGCCTTTATGCGCTTCACATTTGGGAACTCAATCGCAACCTGAGAGAGAGGGAAGAGAATATCGTAAATCAAGCGAAAAATGTATTACGCCTCTTTAATCTCTCGTGAATGTGTGTGTGTGTGTGTGTGTGTGTGTGTGTGTGTGTGTGTGTGTGTGTGTGTGTGTGTGTGTGTGTTCCCAACCTGAGGCAGGAGTCCGTTGGTGTGCCTGATGTACGTCGGGTTAGAGGTTGCCTCCAGACCCACACCATTCCCCTCACAACACTGCACCTGAGAACAAGATAAGAAGACTCAGAGAGACATCCTTCACTTGCATGATATGACTGCTGGTTATTTGTTGAGTGTCTGCTTGGTGGAAAAGCCTCTGTTGGTCTCACCTCACTGAGTGTTGTTAGCTCCTGCTTAGAGCAGACACTGCTGCAGAGAGAAGAGGAGAGAAAATGAACAATAACAAAAGAACTCAGCTAACATTTTGGTTTCCATTGGATGAGTATTTCCGAAAGCAATCTTGTTTAATGTTAAATACACACATGCACATACCTGTTGTTGTGGTAGAGCAGCTCGAGCTGGTTTTTGTCCAGGTTGTCCTCTTTTTCTGAAGCAGCTGCACAAACGATGATCAACATTAGCGTGTAACAAAACAATTGTTGGTGGAACTTGTTACATTTCTCTAACTACAAATATTGTTGAATACACCATCATCACATTGAAGCCTTCACTGTTCAGAGACCCCCCCCCCCTGTGGTGACTGAGCCAGACGTACCGCTGTCGTCCTCGGGCGCCTCTACGGTTTCTGAGTCGGCGTGTCCGTCGGCCAGGCCGGTGCAGATCAGCTGCTGCAGGACGGCCTCGGCTATGGGCATCACCATGGCTGTGGTGGACGTGTTGCTGAGCCACATGGACAGGAACACTGTGCAGCACATGAAGCCCAGCACCAACCTGCAGGAGAGACAGGGAGCTGAATTAGTTAACATGACAGGAACTGCTGGGGTTCGTCCCCTCTGTCTTTTCAAATCTGACTTGAAAAAAAAAAGGCACTGTTGGCCCATAAATGATCTTTAAAATGTTGTATTGTTTGTGTATGTGTGTGCATGTGTGCTGCTTACATGCCAGGCTTGGCCCCTGCGATCATCACCATCCGCAGAGCGATGCGTTTGTGCAGGTTCCACTTCTCTATGGAGGCTGCAAGACAGATGACTCCCATCAGCAGCAGGGTGGTGTCTTTACAGTATTCTGCTGCAACCTAAACACACACACACACAGGCTTTGTTTTTATTCCAGTTAAAAAAATTATTTGACAACTTTTACAAATTGATTGAAGGCACAAGATTAAATGTAGGAATGTGATGAGATCTGAGGAGACAAGAAGCAGCAATGGAGCCTTTTGTCCAACCTTTTCTTCCTTGGTTTGGATCAACACTAACAGTTTGCCGTTTGTTCTTTTTAATCTGCTCTACTTCCCACCCGCAGGGTTCACGGCCTCAAAGTGTTGTATAAGCCCATGTCTCCTAACCTCTCACCTAAAACCGTTTCACTTCCTCCTGCTGCTGCACATTTTTCACAACACTCCATCTTTCTCTGTCATTTAAAGTAGTAAAACAGCAAAGGCAACTACACAGGGTGTAGGGATTTAAACTCTCTGCTTCTACTCTAAAACTGGATATTTCAAAACTTCCTTCATGGAATTGAGGTCCGATGGAGAAATGACAAGAATAACATTACGGAATAAAACTGATACAGATAATGTTGCCCCACCAAAGCTCTGCCTTTGTTCAGGAAGATAGTCTTTATACTACTAAACTGGATAAAATAAATGAGTTCACTGATGACCAATGGCCGAATAAATATTTACATAATACATTTAGGTAAAAGTGCAAATATCATCACGCATAATGAGGAGAATGTACTTTAAATTTAAAAAGAATAATTACACAATGCAGAAAAATCATTACATTTTAGAAGCTGGGAATATACTGTTTTTACATGTAGAGTTACTGAAACAATAAACATATTCCTAATATATTAATGGGCTTAACTTTCAAGCTGTACATGAAAGCCTAAATATTCTTGTGCATTTCTTTGTGTGCAAAATGTAAATGTATTAATTATCTAGGAACTGAAACTGTAAAATAAATGGACAGAAGTAAAAAGTAGAACATTTCCCCTTGACATGTGGTACAGCAGACGTAGAAATGTGCATGAAAAGAAAAAACCATGTAGTACAAATACCTCACAACTGTGATTAAGTTCTTGAGTAAATGTCCTTTGTTACTTTGCACCTCTGCTGATGAATAATGTAATCTGTCCTACTTTAATTTACATGGTTAATCCCTTCTACTGTAAAAACAACAGGTCATTTACAGTAAATGTTGACATGTCTTGGGTCTTAAAAGTGACTTAGGAGACTTCAATTTTTGGGGAACTTGATTTCTTTAAACCTTTTCAATGACAGAACCACATGGTGTGGTTCAGATGATGTGCCCCAACAGTGAGACGCAGCAGACTAGGAGAACATTCCTACATTTTTTTGCCAGCTTTAAAGCAGCTGATGGAAAAAAGAGCCAGCGCTCACTATGTGTTCCTTGGTAAAGTGGCACGGTGAGGACCATCCATCCATCCATCTTCTCCCGCTTATCCGTGGTCGGGTCGCGGGGGTAGCAGTTCCAGCAGAGAGCCCCAAACTTTCTTTTACGGTGAGGACGATAATAGTAAACATGTTGCATAGAGTTCTGAGCTGGCACATTCACACAACCCCATCACAAGAGGCTTACAGCAGCTTTCTCACTGTTTGTCAATGCGATTTGGTCATATGAGGCGTACAGACCCCTTTTTATGTAATGCTCATAAGAAAGGGTTATTTTAGACATATTTATTGATGGAAAATTAACTGTAATTAATTAATGATAATAATTTACAAGTTTATTGTTTGCACACAATATATAACATATTTCTATAATATATATTAATATATACTATATTAAGAATTTCATTATTAAGTCAATAGTTTACATTTTAATCAATCCTATGTAAAATGTCAAAATTATGAATTAAAAGTGGATGGCAGAGCAGGACTCGATGGTATAGAAAACAGGTTCATAAAACTGGCGTCCCATATTCTCATGTACCCACTTGCTGATTTGTTCAACCTGTCTTTGTCCACCTGTGAGTTGCCAACTATTTGGAAATGTGCACGCATCATTCCACTGCATAAAGGTGGTGATTTACTTGATACAAATAATTATAGACCAATCTCTATAATCTGTTCTATTTCCAAAGTTTTGGAGAAAATAATTTATAATCAACTGTCACATTATCTCAATACTTATAATATTTTATCTCCGGTTCAATCTGGTTTCAGGCCTAATCACTCCACAACAACTGCCCTACTTAAATTTACGAATGACTTGTACTCTGCTGCAGATGATGGTGAACTCACAGGTGCCATTTTTATTGACTTGACAAAAGCCTTTGATTTTGTTGATCGATATCTGCTCTTGGATAAACTTCACGGCATTGGCCTTTCTAATAATACAGTGTTATGGTTTAACTCGTACCTTCACAGTAGAAAGCAATGTGTGGTTGTTAATGGAAAACAGTCTGACTTGTTGATCCAACAAAAGGGTGTACCCCAAGGATCAACTCTGGGCCCACTTCTGTTCTCTATTTACATTAATTATTTATCTTCTTGTCTCATTAATTGTTGTACTCACCTTTATGCTGATGACACTGTTATATATACATCCAAATCTGATTTTTCACAAATTCAGATCTCTCTTCAATCGGATTTTAATATCTTACAGGACTGGCTATCACACAATAAACTACTGCTTAACAAAACAAAATCTTATACCATGGTCTTTGGTACCAGGCAGAAGCTCAAATCCAAACCTAATGTAGTAATAACATGTAAGGATGGCACTTCTCTGCATAAAGTTGATAGCTTTAAATATCTTGGTGTATGGCTAGACTCTGAACTTTCATTTAAACTACATATAAAGCATGTAATACAAAAAGTCAATTACGGAATCGGTGTTTTACACCGCTCTCGCAATTGTTTTACGCTCAGTGTCCGAAAGAGAATTGCTTCTCAACTTATTCTTCCGATTATGGACTATTGTGATGTTGTCTACCAAAATGCACATAAATCAGATCTTGCTCCACTTAACATAGCCTACAATAGACTATGCAGATTTGTTCTTGGTTGTCCTTTTCGTACACATCACTGCACAATGTATAACCAACTTAAATGGCCTTCTTTAAATGTAAGAAGACACACGCATTGGCTTCAGCTGATATTTAAATGCATTCATCTTAACTATCCCCCTTATTTAAAGCAGTATTTCGTACCCTACTCGTCAAATCATCAAGTTAGACATTCTGTTCAGATTTATTTCTCTGTCCCCTCTGCAAAAAAATGTATGGGCAGAAGAGCGTTCATTTTCAAAGCCCCAACAGACTGGAATACTTTACCTGCTGCTATTAGATCTCTTGTATGTTTAAACATGCATTATCATCTCACTTTCAACTGGTCTGCACTTGTTATTGAAACTGATATTGATGAAACTGATTTGCTCGACTGTCTCTCAAATTGTAATGATTGTATGCATTGCTTGAATTGTACTTAACAGACTGTATGTGGTTTGTCTTGTGTGTCATGTTTTGAATTTTGTCTTTTTGTTTATGTATGTCTGTAAGTTGTTGCTATTGTCGGGACCCTCTTGAAAACGAGATGCATCTCAAGGGGTTTATCCCAATGAATAAAAATGTCTATATACATCCGATTAGCCGATGCTGTTAGGCCCTACCTGGTTTAGACCCTATGGTTTAGACCTAATAAGTGCTTAGCTCGAACTGTAACGAAGGCTTCATACAGTACATGAATTATTCTGAAAACCACGCATGTAGCTTTTACATGCAAGTCTCACATTGACTGTGACTGTATTTTAGAGGATGTGTGCCATTCTTTATCAAACAAACTGTGCTCTGCAACATGTACACAGACTTAACTACACTAATGTCAATAGAGCTCATTACGGAGCTCAATCATGTTATCAGCACCAACCTAACTTGTCTTAAAAGGGGGGGGGGGGCAGAGAGTGCACTGAAATGTTAATCTGGCAGTCAAAGGTTGATGTAAAAAATCTCTTTAATCTCTTTAACCTTTCTGTTTACAGAAGCAGCAGCCAGCCATTTATTGAGCAAAAAAACTCTGATAACTAAGCTAAGGCCTACATTAGGCTAGGTAGTTAGCATTGAGGCTAAGGTGAGCAGGGAGGTCAAATACATGCTTGTTGAAATAGTAATAACATATAAATGTTATATGTCTTAATTTGAACCACCCTGCTACTGTTGTGCAATTGCACTGGATAAGCAGAGTATTTAAGCCTGGGAGAAATGTTTGACAGACAGGCAGTTTATAGAAACTCACCTCGCTGGACTTGAGCACCCCAAAGAGTGGATAGAGGAAAGCGGGTACCAGAGCAGCAGCACCCAGAGGAACAGCCTCAGACACCCAGTAGACTGCGGTCACCATCAGCACGTACGCACAGCATGCCTCCTGCAGGTAGAAACAAGTATCATTGATGAGATGACACACAAAGCTAGTAGCAGTTAGCTTAGTTTAGCATAACTGCTAACCATATTCTGTACAGCTCATTCATTAAGATTTGTATCTAATTTGTTCATTTTTTGTATGTAGTCGTATTCAAAGTAGTATGTCGTATTTGTTGTGCTCTAACTCGGTTGCGAACACAAACAAGCATACACACGGATGTTGCATTAGGTTATATAATGACAACATACCAGCCTTTCATACTGAAAACAGTAGCAGGCTTAGCGACAGGCTCCCCAAACTTAAAAACTTAAGAGGAATCTCGTGACATTTGTTAAGACCTTACGAAAAGACTACCAATTACTTTTGACAACACTTGGACAATTTTAAACCCAAAAATCTATCGAAAATATTGTCAAGTCACATACGTAATACTAGGAAAGGGGAGAAAATAAATTGTGTTAGAAATGTACTTGTTTTTGACCATGGTCTTTATTGACCATGGTTTTTATTTAATATCTGGATACAGTGTTTCTCCCATTAGTATTAGAACATGTCCTACTTCTGCCACAAATTGTGTGAATTTGTACATTTATCTAAGGGGAACAGTCAGTAAAACATCTTGCCAGAAACAGGTCAGTTAATCTCAAATTATTAATCCCAGAGGGGGAGAATTAACCCTGGGATAAATAAACATGTTCAGATTTATTCGTGTTTATACCTCAGACCAGGGTCGGCTTCATGGGGGGTCATTCGCGTGCCATGCCCCCCCAAATGAGTCACTGTTCCCCCCCAACGCAGGGTTGGCAAGCCTTGCCACTTTGCCGTTTTTTTCTTTTTGTAATCATATAAGTGAAAACGTTTCTACTAAAGGTTTTTTGTGTGAAATACATCAGAAATAAAGAATACAAATATAAAACAGCCTGAGGTGTGCTCACTGCTGCTCTCTGATTGGTGTGTTGCTTGACCAATGACCCCCGACCTTTTTTTTTGTTATCATTACGTGGCTGTGTGTTTAGATGAAAGCCCAGTGGCGATCTGTTCATCTGTTATACTGATTATACAGTAAAGCCATCGAAAATAATATGATATACACACTGGCGGCACATATCAGACCCGGGCCGGGGGGCGGGGCCACATGACCGGGCCCTTTAAACCCAATAAAGCTTGACAAAAATATCGGGAGTCCGGGGTGGTAATCTGACGCTCGTGCGTAAAAAGTCGCTCAGTCAGTAAGATTACAATTTAAAACAATGTTTGAAAGAAAAGTAACTAAATAAAAAGGTGTAATATTTAAAGGGATAGTGGAAATCCGCGAATTTTGGGTTTAACTTGTGTATTTTTATTAAAAATAAGCATATTAAACAATTTTTTTTAATTTCATCCGCCTAGTTTCATTTTATTTTCAATTTGACTGCGCCCTCTCAATGAAACGAAATACTTCGGGAATCGTCGGGAATCTTCGGGTGATGACGAGAGCTCAGGAAGACGGGCACAAACAATGGCGGACATTCAATAGCATTTGCATGTGACTAGCCGACCTTTATTATGGTGAATAGATGTGTTTTGTATGGCTGTAGTGCGACAGAAAATTTCTACGTGACACAACGACATTGGATTAACCTTGAGATGCGTTTTTATTCAGTTGAACACAACTTTTGATCACAAATCAAAAAAGGTAAGACGTAATTATTGTAATATTTTTGGAACCGGATGTTGTTTACTTTCTCTTTTCTGGCTGATAGCTCCAGGAATTTGAGGTCTTACAGTGATGACATTACATGTGTGGAATCTGTGGAGTCTCAGCTTTAAATCGTATATCTTGTTTGTGCAGTTAAGATAGTAATAAGGGCATTTCTACCGTGTGTTGTGTGTAAAAAAGCGTTAGCATTAGTTAGCATTGTTTCGCTCAATGCTAATTCAAAGGCTTGGTATTACTCTTGTGTTTTTTCTAGCTAACAATTGTTCTTATTGTCAGTTAGCGGAGTTTCTTACCTTTAAAAGGGTATGAAACATTAATAGTTTCATAAATGTTAAGAAGCCCTGAGACATGTGAGAGAAAAAAAACGGTGGGAGGGGTCCACTGGGGGGACCTTCGGCCTTAACTGGTTAACAATGATTAATATTTGTAAAGGCTACAGGTGATCTTAAGATGCGTGAGCTATGCTTAGGGACCTACCAGTCAAGATTATTTGTGCGTAGGGGTGCATCATCTGGCGCCTGGTCCTGGTCATCCTCGCCATTGCCCATGCCGTGAACCATCACCTCGGGCTCGGGCTCGAACAAATAAGGACGTAATGGTCCATCTTCTGGCTCAATATTGTCACCATCGTCGCTTACTGAACCGGATTCAGATTCAGTTCCTAAAACGACATTTTCGTAGGAAAGCCGAGAGGATGTTTCTGACTCGCTATCATCACTGGATACCTCGTACAATCCTTCTTCTTTGTCTGGTATATTTGCCCTTCCACGTTCATTCTGCATAGACGCCATGGTTTGTTATCGTATCGTCTTCCTGAGTTTTCGTCACTTCCGGTTAGGCTGAGAAACATTTCGTTTCTAAAAAACTTCGGGGAAGCTGCAATAAAGTGCTTCTAACATGCGTAAGGCAATTATTATATTTTTTTAATCAGGTGTGATTGTTTTGGTACGTAATTATGCTTGTATATAAGTTAAAACGAAACTATTTGAGGTTCCATTTCCACTATCCCTTTAAGATTTCGTTTTTACAAAGGGTATAGAAACGAAATATATAACAGAGATAATAATGATATAACATGACATAAAGTCCAACAAACCACAAGGACAATGAAAACATAGCCTAATAAAATGACTACATTTCTGACACACCATTCACCATGGACAGCCACCATGAGAGCAGAGCAGTGTAAAATTGGCACGGCGGCCCATACATTCACGTACAAGTAGGCTACTGTACAAATTAAATTTGAAGTGTACTCACCACTACTTGAATGGTACTCGGCGAGCCTTGCGCTCCGCGAACTTGTCCACAATACGCTGTATGTCCAATTTCTTGGCTCGGTCACTTTCGATGGACAGCAAGAACAGTCCACTCAGTCTCTCCTGTCCCATCGTGCTCCTCAAATAGTTTTTGATGAGTTTTAATTTGGAGAAAGAGCGCTCGGCGGTTGCCACGGTGACAGGAAGAGTCAGAAATAAGATGAAGGCTGTGCAAACCTCACTGAATGTAGATGTTACTGCTGGGTTGTAAACAATGAGCATTTTTACCAGATCCGCGACAGATTTTAGTTTTTGTATTTGGTCCCTGAAACAGGTTCTGAAAGAAAGCAGCTGGCCAGGGAAGCTGGCGGCGATGTCCCGACTGTAGTGCTCTCTAAGCCGCTGGGCAGCTTGGTGTAAATCCTCATCCTTTGATTGCAGTAGTGTGTTGGGGTGAATTGCCTCAAACATGTTCACAGTTGCATTTAAACTGGTGAATCTTTGGGACAGTTGCTGGATGATTATATCGAGACATGCATTGAAAACGGTCACCCGAAAGTTGCTCTCTGCGTCAGTGAGGCGGCTGTCTTCAGAAAGTTCATCAAAGTGTCTCTTAACTTTCCTGGCCCTGGTTGTTTCAAACTGTGTTTGACTTCCCCATTTAGTAGCCAGGGCAAGAGTGTCCGGTACTTCTTCACCTTGCGGCGCAGCCAGTAAGGAGCCGGAGGGGGAGGGGTGCGGCTGGTCAAGCGTCAGGCCTGGCTCTCCTCTAGACGAGCAGCTAGCAGCTAGCAGCTGCTGAGTCGTCCCTATTATCATCATCACTACAGCCGAGAGACAGAAAAGGAAATAAGCTAGGCGGCCGAGCTACACGAAGTAACAACAACCATATGATATCAACATTTACCACAAACTCACATTTTCTTGTTGACAGTGTGTGGCCGTGATTGTAGCCTACCTGTAAATCTGGCTAACCCCCACTAACGTTGTTGGCGGGCTGGGGCTCGGGGATGAAACACGGCTGGCGAAAAAAATATCCATCGAGCTTGGACAATTTGGCTTTTCCTTGGTCCTCCTTTTTTATCTTTTTCTTTGCATTTTGTAGCTCCACTTTTGTGTTTATAACTGCTCATGCTTAGGCAGTGCTCTGTTGAATGACAAGTGATTGATGATGACGTTGACGTTCATTTACGTATGATGTTGATGGACGGCTGTTGATGACGATTGTACCCAAAATACATTTGGAGACAATAGAAGGGATTCACTTGCAATTTTTCATGTTTTAATGTTAAATGTGAGTGTGAAAATAGCAGCACAAGTTCAACTCATATTATAGGCTACAATGCTTTATACCTAATATGACCACGAACGTCAGTGCACTCAGTGGCGCGAGGCAGCAGGGCCCGCCCGAATATCTCGGGGGCGGAGCCTGCTGCCTCGGCGACGGGCCCCCATTGGGTCCCGACCGTCCAGGGCCCGGGGAGCCCTGCCCCTACAGCCCCCCCTGAAGCCCCGCCCCTGGATATACAGTACAGTACGGCTCTGTGTGGCACGAGCGCATTTTGTGAGTGCGCAAGTGGTAACGTGGAATGTTGTTAGCATCTGGTTAGCTAGCTATGCTAACGGATATAAAGGGCTGTTTCTACACCAAGGTGGAGGAGAGTCCTCTCCTGTCAGACTGAGAGGATCTTATAACGTCAGCTCAGTGAGGTAAGGACTCTCTCAGTGTTTAGATAGTTCACTTTAGTGTAGGTTAAGTTATCTCAGTGGGTCTCAAACGGTTTGGTCACCATTTATGTAAGTATTTTCGAGGAATACCTTTATATTGTGGTGACACGTTATTGGACCAGCCTGTGGTGCTGGCTCGACCCCCGCGACGGGGCCGCCCCCCGGCCTCGTCCCCTGTCACGGATTTAAGACCTGTTGTTCCGGTCCCTCCCCTTCCGGGGGCCGCACAGGCGGGAGTCACTTTTCCGACTCCCGTGCTCAGGAGTCGTGGGGGTCGGCGTGTCGTTCCTCCCTGCCATGCTGATTTTGTTTATGTGTGAATTCTGGGGGGGCTTGTGTGGTGACACGTTATTGGACATAATTCACCTTGCTTATTGTGTTGCCACACGGACCCTTTAGTGGGGAACACCTGTAGCTTTAGCTGCCATTCCTGCTAGCTTATCAGGCAGAGCAGTGCATGTGTTAACCTCTCTGAAAGTAATGGATAATAAAGATTGGAACTCCATTCTTAATACACCGCCTCCGACTCTCTTTTCACGGCACTACACTGGTGACCCTGACTTTTCCGAGAAAGTTTCCGGAAAATTAACGAACATGGCTGAGCGCGATGTTTTCATAAAGCTGCCGGAATTCTGGGAGCACGCCGCGGAGGCATGGTTCGCACACGTGGTGGCACATTTCGCCTGCCGACAGGTCCGTGACGGGGACCTAAAATACTACCATGTGGTAGCAGCGCTGGGGAGCTCCACGTCGTCCAGGTTGGTGGGATTCATCGCAGCCCCCCCACATCATGGCAAATATGAGGCGATTAAGGCCCTTCTCCTTAAGACATTTAGTTTATCTGCTAAGGAGAGGGCCCGCCAGATACTTGACATTCAAGCCCTAGGAGACAGCAAGCCATCCCAGCTAATGGAGAAAATGCTAAATCTGCTAGGGGGGGAAGATCCCCGGATTTTATTCACGGAGATTTTCCTGCGTCACTTGCCTCCCCGGGTACAGACGGCGCTGGCCAACACGCCTGTCAAGGAGCCCCGTGCTTTGGCTGAGGAAGCGGATCGTTTTTTCCTGGCTACGCAACAGCCCGGGGCAGAGACGTTAGCCGCGACGCTCAGCGGCCCACCGGCAGTCAAGAAAGCGTGGCGGAGGCCGGACACGGCTGTGGCTAGCCGGCGTGGAGACGCCGGAGAGTGCGTTTACCACGCACGTTTCGGGACAAGGGCGAAGAGATGCATCACTCCGTGCAGCTACAAACCCCCGGGAAACGGAGGGGCCGGCGCTCAGTAGTGGCTCTGAGCGTTAGCGACAGCGTTTCGGGGAGCTTGTTTCTGTGTGACACGGGCGCTCAACGGAGCGTAGTTCCAGCGTCGAGTGAAGACGTCGCCCGTGGGGGGCACGGACCGCGATTGACGACGGCTAACGGCAGTCCCATTCGCACGTACGGCGTGAGGCCTATGTGTTTGTGCATCGGAGGACAGCGTTTCAGCTGGGATTTTGTGACAGCGGACATTTCTTTTCCCCTCCTCGGAGCGGATTTTTTGTGTGCTCATGGACTCTTAGTGGACGTTAAGAATAGGCGTTTGGTTGATGCCTTAACGTTTTCTTCCCTCGTGTGCACACTTGGCAGCGCAGCGTACGACGGGCTGTCAGGCTCGCTGTCAGGTGCAGACACGTTTCTTAGACTGTTGGCCGAGTTTCCAGACCTGTCGCTACCCACCTTCTCTGCGCTTACCACTAAGCATGGCGTGGAACACCACGTCACTACCGGGGGACCTCCTGTCTACGCCAGGGCCCGGCGGTTGAACCCTTCTAAGCTGGCTGTAGCGAGGGCGGAGTTCGCAACCATGGAGCGCCTGGGCATTGTCCGCCGCTCCGACAGTCCTTGGGCTTCTCCCCTGCACGTCGTTCCCAAATCGAACGGCGGGTTCCGCCCGTGCGGGGATTACCGCCGACTCAACGACGCCACTACGCCTGACCGCTATCCGGTGCCGCACATTCAGGACTTTTCGGCGCATCTGGCCGGTACGGGGGTGTTTTCCAAGGTGGACCTGGTGCGTGGATACCACCAGGTGCCCATGCACCCCCTGGACATTCCCAAGACAGCAGTGATAACGCCTTTTGGACTTTTTGAGTTCCTGCGGATGCCTTTTGGACTCAAGAATGCCGCTCAGACGTTCCAGCGCCTGATGGATTCGGTGCTGCGGGACCTGCCGTTTGTGTTTGTTTACCTCGACGACATACTCGTCGCCAGCGTTTCAGTGCAGGAGCACCTGTCCCACCTCCGAGCCCTTTTCACACGGCTCAACGAACACGGATTAATCATCAATCCTGCAAAGTGCCAGTTCGGGGTGTCGGACATCGATTTCCTGGGGCACCGCGTCACCAAGGGTGGTGCGACACCTCTGCCAGCGAAGGTGGAGGCTGTTGCGGCGTTTCCTCGCCCGCTCACAGCCCGGTCGCTCCGTGAGTTTCTGGGGATGGTGACTTTCTACCACCGTTTCATCGCCCGGGCCGCACACATCATGCGGCCGCTGTATGAAGCGTTGAAAGGCAAGACCCCCTGTCCAGGAGATCGACTGGACAGCAGAGGCGGACGGTGCTTTTGCTGAGGTCAAGACCGCGTTGGCTCAGGCGGCTTTGCTGGCACACCCATCATCTACGGCTCCCATCTCCATCACCACGGACGCGTCAGACTACGCGGTCGGCGCAGTGCACGAGCAGTGGGTGGAGGGCGCTTGGCAGCCGCTCGCCTTTTTCAGCCGCCAGCTGACGCCTAGAGAACGCAAATACAGCGCCTTTGACCGGGAGCTCCTCGGACTTTATTTGGCCGTGCGGCACTTCCGTTTCATGCTGGAAGGCCGTGAATTTACGGCGTTTGTCGACCACAAGCCGCTCACCTTCGCCATGTCAAAAGTGGCGGAGCCTTGGTCGGCACGTCAGCAGCGGCAGCTGTCCTACATATCGGAGTTCACTACGGACATTAAGCACGTGGCTGGCAAGTCGAACCTGGTTGCTGATTGCCTCTCCAGGGTCGTCATCGGTGCCGTCCAGTTGGGCCTGGACTATACTCGCATGGCGGCAGACTAGGTCACAGATCCCGGCGTCCAGGCCCTGAAGGTGGAGAGCGCGGGGCTGCGCTTGGAGGACGTGGTGTTCGGCGACGCGGGCATTACTCTCCTGTGTGACGTCTCTACGGGCCTGGCGCGGCCTGTCGTCCCTGCCAGCTGGAGGCGTCCTGTGTTCGAGGCTGTGCACGGCCTGTCACACCCCGGCGTTAAACCTTCGGTGCGTTTGGTAGCGGCAAAGTTCGTTTGGCAAGGACTGAAAAGGGACGTGAGGACTTGGGCCAGGGAGTGCGTGGCTTGTCAACGCGCTAAGGTGCACCGCCACACGAAGGCCCCGTTGGAGCGTTTCCTGGTGCCTGAGAGGAGGTTTGATCACGTCAACATTGACCTGGTTGGTCCGTTGCCTTCCTCTCAGGGGTTTTCCTACCTCCTCACCATGGTGGACAGAACGACCCGTTGGCCGGAGGCGGTTCCGCTCGTTTCGACATCAGCCGCAGACGTTGCCCGGGCCTTCATTGCAACGTGGGTGTGTCGTTTTGGCACCCTGTCAGACATTTCCTCAGACAGGGGCTCTCAGTTCACGTCCGAGCTCTGGAACGCTGTGGCAGGCGGTTTGGGGGTTAAGCTGCACAGGACTACCGCTTACCACCCTCAGGCTAACGGCCTCTGCGAGCGCTTTCATCGCTCCATGAAGGCGGCCCTCAAGGCCGGCCTTATGGACGGTAACTGGGTCGACAAGCTGCCCTGGGTGATGCTGGGCCTGAGGACCGCACCTAAGGAAGATCTGCAGTGTTCTACAGCGGAGATGGTCTACGGTCAGCCGCTGAGAGTTCCGGGGGATTTCCTCCCAAATGCATCGGCTCCCTGGTCGGCGTCGGCCCAGCGGGCTTTCCTGCGTGACGCCGCGGAGGCCTTTGCTCCGATTCCTACTACTCAGCACGGTACTCAGGTGTCCCAGGTTCCCGCAGAGCTCCACTCGGCGGAGCACGTGTTCATCCGGCACGATGCGCACAGAGGCCCCCTGCAGCCCCCTTATGATGGGCCTTTCCGGGTCTTGGAGCACGGGGACAAGCACCTGGTGGTCGACCTGGGTGGCAAGGCCGAGCATGTCTCGGTGGACCGGGTGAAGGCTGCTCACCTGGACTTGGACCAGCCTGTGGTGCTGGCTCGACCCCCGCGACGGGGCCGCCCCCCGGCCTCGTCCCCTGTCACGGATTTAAGACCTGTTGTTCCGGTCCCTCCCCTTCCGGGGGCCGCACAGGCGGGAGTCACTTTTCCGACTCCCGTGCTCAGGAGTCGTGGGGGTCGGCGTGTCGTTCCTCCCTGCCATGCTTATTTTGTTTATGTGTGAATTCTGGGGGGGCTTGTGTGGTGACACGTTATTGGACATAATT